CTATGTGTCTATTTTTGTGCCAGTACCATGTTGTTTTTAAGACTATAGGTCTGTAGTATACTTTGAGATCTGATATAGTAATCCCCCCAGCATTGCTCTTTGTGCTCAGGGTTGCTTTGGCTATCCAGGGTCTTCTGTGCTTCCACATGAATTTAAGGATTTTTTTTTCTAATTCTGTGAAGTATGCCATGGGGAGTCTGATTAGGATTGCATTGAATCTATATATTGCTTTTGGTAGGATGGCCATTTTCACAATATTAATTCTTCCAATCCATTAACGTGGGAGGTCCTTCCATCTGTAAACCTTATATTTTCAAAATGCTGCATGAGGGATACTTTCAAATCCACCTGCTGAGACTACTTAGTAAACCCTGCATTAAATGCCTGTAATGACATCACTGGTGAGCCTGAAGCAGGAGGCTTGGGAGCTGAAAGCCAGCTTGGGCTACGTAGTCAGACCCTGTCTCAAAAAGAAATAAAACAAAATAACTCTACACTTAGCCATCCAAGTCTGAATGAGTGTAGTGAGCTGGTCTTTCACAGTGACTCCCGACACAAGCACCATGGACATCTATAATGAAGATGGGATCCCTCCCCTGCCCCCAAGGCTGATCTAAAAAGCCCTATTCACAGAAATTGGGCAGTCTCTAAGATGCAAAATATAACCTCATCATTGCAAGGGGCAGATGGGCAGAAGTGATAGGGAGTTGCCATCACAGTAAGTAAACTGATATGAAGAGAAATAAAACTGAATTCTTAGTTATCTTATATTCTGACATGACATCCACCTGCTGTCCCTGCTGGACTCCTGAGGCCTCCTCCCCATTCTTCAGTGTGATCCAAGCCCTTTCACCTATTAGGAATAAGCTCAGCTTCTGTTTCATCTGTTTATTGCAGCACTCTTTAATAATCTAGTAGGTACTCAGTGCTGGACTGACTCAGTGCTAATGTTGCAGATTTGCATTTCCCTAATTACTAATGATGTGGAACACTTTTTGAGATGTTTCTTAAGCCATCTTTGTTTCCTTCTTTGAGAACTCTCTGTTTAGATCTTTAGCCCCATCTTTTAATTGGGTCATTTGGTTTTTCATTAACCTCCCTCCACACACACACACCAATTGAACTCAAAGTTCCTGTACTGTCCAGATGAAACTGTGAGAGGACAGCCACAGCTCGTGATGACAGCCATGAGAGACCGGCACCTCATGCTCTTCTAAGGAGCAGGGTCCACAGAGACTTTCTGCATTAGATAGACCTGAAACGGGTGGTCTTTCTTCTTTTAACCTTTTGTTATTACTATGTACAACTGACAGGTGTTGATTATAGAAAAATGTCCAAACACTAAGCTGAAGAATGGGTAAGAGCTGACCAGATGAAGTGTTTCAGACAGCATTCGAGTAAGCTTTCTATTGCTGTGATAAACACTCTGACTAGCAACAACTTGGAAACAAGCTCTCCCTGCAGCCCCAGCTGGCCTGGAACTCACTATGTAGACCAGGCTAGCCTTGATCTTACAGCGATCTGCCTGCTCTGCCTCCTGAGTCCTTGGATTAAAGACGTGAAGCACCATGCTTTCTTATACAACCCAGACCAAGGTTGGCACCACCCACAATGAAGTGGGCCCTTCCACATCATTCAACCATCAAGAAAATGCCTCACAGACATGCTGACAGGTCAATGCAATAGAGAAAATTCCCCAGTTGATGTTTCCTCTTCCTAAGTGTGTCAAGTTGACAATAAAGCCAACCATGAAAGACAGGGGGAACAGCCTGGACGAAGTAAGAGGTGAGTAAAGATGATATGGAAAGTTAGGAGAGTCCAGATCATGCTGGGCTGTGAAACTTGCTAAAGAACATATGCTGAGCACATGGGCCACTGCAAACTCATCCACTGTGCCCATGATAAGAACTGCTGGGCTGGCTCCAATCCTCAGCACAGAGGGAAGAGAAGAGGGAAGGACAAGAAAACACCACACACAATGAAAACCAGAACAAATTAACTGGAAGGACAAGCAGATAAGACAGACAGACACACATCCACACACAAACATGGGGGAGGGGTGTCTGGGCAGTGCTGCTACTCTGGTTGGCAACTGAGAAGAGAGATTGAAGAATGACTCAGATAGGGAGCTGCCTACACAGATGGGCTCAGGGTCAGAGACGGAATGAACTTCAAGATAACCCTGAGATTTCAAGTCTATCTTGACCAGGGATGGGCCTGTGTTCTTCAATTTCATCAGTTCCCTTGTGCTGGAAGCAGAGGACACATTCACAGGGGATGACTGCAGGTAATGTCACTCAGGACTATTTCAAAAGGAAGGGTCAGGGCAGATGGAAACCAACAAAGGGAGGTGACTGCCACTGGGCTAGTGGCTGTGAGGACACAATCCCCAACAGGCCCGTGGGTTGAGGGAAGGAACAGCAGAACCCGGGGTGGGGGTGGGGGGTGGGGGTGGCTGTGGCTGCAGGAGGGCACAAGCAGAGGCTGCCACCTGGTTGTCACACAATGAGGACCCTGGATCCTGACTGATTTCTCTGTCCTGTCCAGATCTCACAGTATCTCTGTAGCCTCATCTAAATCAGTAACCACAGAACAAGAAAGTCTCTTGTCCTCCTCCTGGAGCTCAGAGCAGGGAGATGTCAGAGGAGACCAGATCCAGGGGGCCAAGAACCCCGGAAATGCTCTTGTGTTGATGCCTGACTCTTGGTTATTACTGAGCCACTTAGCAAATTCTTTCGTTAGTTATAAGTGCCACTAACCATACCACTGTTGCCCCGTCCCCGAAAAACCATCCAAAACCAACCAAACAGAAAACCATGTGTAACTGAATTTCAACCAGGACTTACCAAACAGATGGCTTCGGTAGCTTCTTTTCCCTTACAATAATGAAGCTGACTGATGCTTATGACTCTGCACAATTCTAAAAAGTGCAATGTGGAACAAGAGCCACTGGAAGGGACTTAAAATTAGGTATGATAGTGGATGATGCTCATTTTGTAAAAGGACCAAGTGCAGAGTACGCCGTATCACCTGCTTCAGAAGCCCGCAGACTTGTTCTCCTAAACATCTGGCAGACCTATCTGGATACCTGAGAATTAGACCTGGCTTAGAAGGTTCTGGGCAAACACACAACTGCTCAGAGCATCATGTGCGGCCCCCTTGTGCTAGCAACAATAATAAGAAATAGTCTCTTTCCCTCTTACAGTAAGTTGTACTGTAGTATAACTTCACAAGTTTGCTGGGATCTGCCAGCCTGTCTGGTGGCTTTAGCATCAGAGGAACTGAGTGTGTGATCATGTCTGTGAAACCAATGCTGCCTGAACTTTGTGGGCACCAACAGGCAAACATATCAATGTTCTACAACATTGCAGAACCACCACACTGAGGTCTGTCTGCCGGATCTCCTTCAAAAATGAAGGCATCTCATACAGAAAGCTCAACAGCTACATTGCAGTGGGCCTGAGATCACTATATTTGGGCCTGAGACCATTTGTTAGGAAATGTAAAGCTGTACAAAATGATGTCATAAGGAGCCAGCTCAGGGCTATTCATTGCCTGAGGAAATGAATGAAACCCGAACTGCCAGATGTCCTCTGGCAACATCTCTATTTGAATGCCTACTGTAGCCAGGCACAGCAACAGGTGCCAGGGGACAGGACATGGTGGCAGTGCTGTGAGGGACAACCCTGGGTGGGTTGAGAAAAGGGGAAAGCTGAATTTAAAAGGGTGGTTTGGAGAGATGGCTCAGCTGTTAGGCATACTTGCTTGCTTTTCCAGAGGACCCAAGTTCAGTTCCCAGTACCCACATGGAGCAGCTCACATCTGCCTGTAACTCCAGCTCCAAGGGCCCTGATGCCCTCTTCCTGCACGCACATGCCACATACACTCACGTATTGTTCTAGTTGGCTTTCCTGTTGCTGTGCTAAACACTATGACCAAAAACAACTTGAGGAGGAAAGGGTTTGACTTACAGGTCACAGTCCATCACTGAGGGAAGCCAAGGTGGGAACTCAAGACAGAAACCTGGAGACAGGAGCTGAAGCAGAGACCTCGGAGGAATGCCCCTTACCGGCTCAGTTCTCCTGGCTCACTCAGCTGCCTCTCTTACACAGCCTAGGCCCACCTGCCAGAGAATGGCCCTTCCCACAGTGGGCTGGGCCCTCCAGCATGAATTAGCAATCAAGAAAATGCCCCACAGACAGGTCCACAGGGCAACCCAATAAAGGAAATACCTCAATTCCAGGTTAGGCTTGTGTCAAGTTGACAAAAACTAATGAGCACACAAACACACACATACACATAAACCAAAACAATAAATCTTGAAAGGATGGTATGAATTAATTAGCAGGGGGAGTGGCCAAAGGGAAGGAGCCCAGGGTGCAAAGGCCTTAAGAGGAAGAGACATGGAGTATTTGATTCCTGAGAGAACAGTGGCCCTAACTCAGGGATCCAGAAGAAACATGGCTACCTCTGAGGATGGGGTACAGGTAGGGACCTCTGGCTGTAGGGCCTGATTAGCCATTTAAATACTGTGTGTTTTCTTCAAGAATAATACTAAGCTGAGGGACTGTGAGCTGGGAAGTGGTGGGTCCCATGTTCTCATAAGACTCCTCTGGCTGCAGTATGGAGATGAGCAGTGAGGAGAGTTACATGTTGGGGCGTGTGTGGAAATTTTTATCAAATCCAGTTTTTCAATATTTGTATGGGTTTTTTTGGAGAGGAGAGTTACATGTTGGGGCGTGTGTGTGTGTGTGTGTGTGTGTGTGAGAGAGAGAGAGAGAGAGAGAGAGAGAGAGAGAGAGAGAGAATATGAATGGGAAGAGTGCAGCATGTGCATGGAAGGATGGAGAAGGAGTACTGTTTCTACAGTGCGTGGAAATTCAAGGGCAGATGGAGGGGACCAGATCTGCTCAGCGCAGACAGTGAGGGTTTATAGGTGTCTCTATCTCATCTTCCCCTCCCCTTCCCCATAATCAGAACACTGAGTCTGTTGGGCTTACCGGTTCAGTCCCTTTTTCTCTGGTGACATGGAACTGCTCAGGGGTCAGCTTCTTCAGCCATTCATCCTTGCTTACAGAGGACTTGCACTTCGTAAGAGACCCTGCATTGCGAAGTAGGGAATTTGTTTTGCTTAAATAGTCAATTAATTTTTTTCCCCTTGGCCTGCACAGTCAATCCTAGACCTTTCGGCCTCTCTACCATGACCTCATTCTTCACAGGGACTGGAAAGCTCAGGCACAACATGCCCAGGCATGTTTCATTAACAAGAAATCACTAATGAATAGGGAGCTGGTGTCCTGGTCCTCCTGGGCACAGAGACTGAAGAAATGGCTCAAACAGAGAAACACAGCCAGACAAGTTCTCCCCACGTACCTCAGAGTGAAACTTGATTCTTCCTTCCTGTTCTAGTTCTGTTTTAAAAGACTATTTCAAGTCTTCATTTAATTTTTGTAATACAATTCATATAATATCTAACATTTCCTTAGCAGTAGACATAGTAGGGGATATTGGATTTGATTTCCTTACCCTTCTGCTGATTAGTCACGTGACAATGAGAAAACTTTTTGAGCCTTAGTTTCTTTTTTTCCTAATTTTAAAACTTCCTTTAAAAAATTAGCACGCAAAGTAATGGATCTCATGATGGCATTTCCATAGGTACTTTGTGATGCTGCTCTCCTCATCCTCTCCTCATCCCTCTTCTCCCCCAGCACCCTCTTCCCCTCCTGCTGGTCCCCTACCCACTAGCCTCCCTTCTGTTCCCATGTCACATGTATTACATTACCCTCTCTTTTTCTTTTTTTTAAATTGCTTATTTTTATTTTATGTATATGAGTGTATTGCCTGCATGTAGGTAAGCGCACGTGTATCATGCAATGCCTGAGGAGAACAGAAGAGGCCATCGATCCCCTGGAACTGGAGTTACAGACAGTTGTTAGCTGCCATGTGGGTGCTGGGATTCGAACCTGGGTCTTCCGCAAGAACAACCAGTGTTCTTAACCACGGAGCCATCTCTCCAGCCCCCACCTCTCTCTTTCTTTTAAAACCATTCTCCTCTCATGGTCTTCTTCTACTTTTATGACCTGTACATCCCTATACACACACACACATACACACACACATATATATAATTAAAGGGTCTGCATATGAGAGAACACATGAGGTATTTGTCTAAATCTGGGATGCTTTGCTTAACATAATAATTTCTAGTTCCATTTTCCTGAAAAATACCATGATTTTATTTTTCCTTGTGGTTGAATAAAATTCCACTGTGTATATTTTCCCTCTCTGTCTGTTGGATATCTAGGCTGGCTCCATGTCAGCTATTATGGATGGTGCAGCAATAAACATGTATATGCAAATATCTTGGTGGAAAGACTGAGTCCTTTGGGATATATTCGGGAGTGGTATAGATGGGTAATATGGTAGTTCTGAAAAGCAGCCCCTATCAGGACCCAACTGAGAACAATGAGGGATTAGATAGAAACAAACCATGTGCTGGGAAGTTATTAAAATCCTCTCCCTAGCTATTTGTAAAAGTATCAGAAAGTTCTGTATTTTAAAAATTCTCTCGCACAGAGGACAAAAGAGGTCCCTATTGTATGTACTTGAATCTGCAACCTGCCTCTTATATTGCTTATTTGCTTGTCTGTTTGGAGATGGGGTCTCATGTAGCTCAGGCTAGCCTCATACTCACTGTGTAGCCTAGACAGGCCTTGAACTCCTGATGCTCCTGCCTCTACCTGTAATCTACTACTATACTTCAAGGTTTCTGGCCATACTTTTCCTTTTTCCTGCTTGTTTTAACTTCTTGTTATTTTTATATGTATGTAAACAAAGTAGGACAAGATTATATTTAGTTAATGTGGGTAGAAAGCCCAGCTCTGATAATGTTTTCATCATTCAACATTGAAAGGATTTTATAATCTGTTTACTTTTTCAACCTACAAATAAGAAAGGTCTAAATGGTTGTTAGCCTGCTGGTGGCTTTCAGTTGTAGGCTTTCTTCGTTCCACATCCTTGATGCCTCCAAAGCCTGCATGTCTCAATGTCTCTGTTACCGCCTGGGATCAGGGTGCCACCATCTCCCCATTATCTCTACCTCAGATGGTCACAGTTTGCTGATGTGCCCTCCTCTGATCCCAATCACTTGATTTGACTGTCACTGCTCCAAACTGTTCCATGTGACACAATACCCTCAAAATCATTCTCAGACCCCTTAATGTGATTTCCAAGGCCTTCTGTGCCTTGGTCAGGGCCCCCACTTTCAACCCTGCCATTCTGCAGTGCTCTAGTCACTCCGAACCACAACTGGTTGGCTGATATTGCTGATAAATTCAACCATGCCATTACTAATTTTCTGACTGCAGATTGGTCCACTTCCAATAGAGGATGTTCACATCTCCAACTATGACGGTGGAATTGTCTCCATTTCTTCCTACAGTTTGACACTCTGTTAAGTGTTAAGGACTGTTACATCTTCTTGGAGAACTGGCCTCATTATCGTTTTGAATGTTTTGCTTCACTTTGTATCACTGATAACTTTCCTTGCTCTGATGTTGTCCTAGTTTTGTTTCTCCATTGCTGTGACAAAATACTCTGAACAATACCAACTTGGGGAGGAAAGGGTTTATTCAGCTTACGTCTCTGGGGTCACAGGTCATCTCTGAGGGAGCCCAAGGTAGGAACTCAGGGCGGGAACCTGGAGGCAGGAGCTGGAGCACAGGCCATGGAGGAATGCTGCTTAGTGGCTTGCTCCCCTGGCCCTTGCTCAGCCTGCTTTCTTATACAACAGAGAACAACCTGCCCAGGGGTGGCCCCACCCACAGTGGGCTGGACCCTCCCACATCACTCAACAATCAAGAAGATGCCCCACAAACATGGCCACAGGCCAGTCCAAATGAAGCAATTCCTCAGTTAAGGCTCCCTCTACCCAGGTATATCAAGTTGACAGTAAAGCTATCCAGCACAGATGTCTTCCTTATCTTATATTAATACAGCTACTCCTGCTTTTATTTTTTTTTAAGTAGTAGCCCCAGTGGGCCCAGAACTCAGTATGTAGCTCAAGTTGGCCTCAAGACCTCTTGCCTCAACCTTCAGAATGCTGGGACAGCAGATGTGCCACCACGTGCTGTTTGTCAGCCCTGTTTTAATTAGCATGAGCTTGGTGTATCATCTTCCCTGCCTTGCCTTTCCGTTGACACGTGGCTTTACATCAAAGCAGGTTAGGTCATGAAGGAGGGGTCTCACTAACTGGATGAACTTCTTTTGAATTGACTTTTTATTACTGTCTACATGTGTATGCCTGTGTCTTTGTGAATGTGTCTCACACATGTGTGGGTGCCCAAGGAGGCCAGATGGTGGCACGGGATACTCTAGCTCCAGCTAGAGTTACAGGCTATTATGACATGGATGCTGGGAACTCAACTCTGGTCCTTGAGAAGACCAGGAAGGGCTCTTAATCACTGAGCCATCTCTCTGGCCCCTGGATTAACTTCTTTGTAAGAAAAAGATTGGGAGGGGCTGTAATGTTTGCCTAGCATGTGCAAGGCCTTAGGTCTGATTTCCAGTACTGAAAGAAGAAAGGAAGAGAGGAAAGGGAGATGGAGAGGGAGGGAGGAGAAAAGGGCAGGGGGAGGGGAGGAAGAGGGAGATAGAGAAGGGGAAGGAGGAAGAAGGAGAATGAGGGTTGGGGAAGGGAAGAGAGGGGAAGACAGGCAAGGGGAGAGGACCGGAGAGGAACAAAAGCAAGCCCAGAAAGTTGTGGTCTCCAAACACACAGCAGAAAGATCACATGAAAACACACAGGACAGAGACCATCTCCAAGCCAGAAAGTGGGTTCCATTGGGAACCAAATCTTTGACCTCTCAGCCTCCAAAACTGTAAGAAATAAGGGCTTGAGCCTCCTTCTTGGTATTTTATTACAGAAGACCAAGCTCAGTCAGTAAGGGACAGGGAGCTGGAACCAAGACTTGCCTCCACTAACAACCAGGATGGTAAGCACAGAAATGCGATTGCTTCTAATGCTTGCTTGTTGAGCAGGCTTCCATGATTTACTTAAGTGTTCCTTAACTGATCTGGGTTGAGGCCAGTTTCCACTCCCTAGAGTAATGCTGTTAAGAACATCTTTGCCGTACATCTTTGTTCTTCTTTTGAATTATTTCCTGAGAATAAACTCCCAGGAAGGGGTCTGGTAAGTTACACAGCTGCTGCAATGCACTGGTGTCTGGCCGGATTTTAATGCGGGTCGGGCTGAAGAACCTCAGATCCCGGGGCAGTTCATCAGGCTGCATCTAACAGCATCACATACCACAAGGAAGTTTCCACTATGTGGAAACCACGGCGCTATATGTAGGATGGGAACAGCTCCAGTCTGCTTCCAAGCAAAACAGTGCTTGGTACACAGTAGGCTTGCAACAAAGTCTGGTTGACTGAGACACCAAGAGGTGGGCAAAACCCTAACTGGAAGTAAGCTGGAGAGCTTCAGTGATCAACATGACATACCTGGGAAGAGGGACCCTCCATAAGCCCATGGGATGGGCCTGTGGCCTTGTATGTAAGGCACTTCCTTAATTGCTGGATGAAGTGGGAAGGCCCAGCTCACTGTGTGTGCTAAACCTCTGGGTAAGGGGGTCCTAGGTTGTATCAGCAAGCAGGCTGAGTACAAGCTGGAAAATCAAGGCAGTAAGCAATATTCCTCCTAAGTCTGGCTTCAGTTCCTGCCTCCAGGTTCCTGCCTTGGTTTTACTTAGTGATCTGTCACTTCCTCCTTAAGATGGTTTTGGTTAGTATTTTTGTTGCAGTAATAGAGAGTAACTAGGGCAGTCAACAAACACTCCACAGTCCCAAGGCCTTTATTTATTGAGCACAATTTGGAAATCGTAGAGGGTTTAAAAAAAAAAAAGAATTCCAAAAGACTTGGTACATTTTAAGCAGCATAAAATAGAAAACTGGATTAGAAAGAGGGCTGGCTGGGGCAACAGCAAGCACCCGGGCACTTAGCCCTGGGCTGTCAGAGCGGGTGAATCAGCATACTGGCCTGTACTGGGCAGGAGACACCCACGTGACCGTAGCCTGCCCCGCCTCTCTCCTCCGACTTGCCCACAGAGGGGTGTGCACTGCACTGGCCGGGGACCGACGGCTACACCAAGAGGGAGCGCTCTGGTCGCCACCACCCGCCCGGGTCCAAGTCCAAGGTCCGCGACTCCCATGTTATGCAATAAATAAAATGCACAATACACACGAGTTGTGCGCACTTAGGGGAGAGGATCGTCCCTTCCCTGGGTCCTTTGCAGCATCAGTGCCCTCTGCACCGCAAGTTTACAGACCACGGTCCTAGATCTTACGGGCCACAGGGATCCCGGCTCTCGGAGGGCGCCCGGTGGGTCCCTAGATCCCCAGCCTAGGGGTGAAACAAAGCGCGGAGGCGGCGACCCGCCTGTGGCCGGAGACCTACCTGCGTCCCAGCCGCCAGACCCAGAGCAGCCCAGCGCCGGCGCCCTTAGGAAGCGCAGGCCCCGCAGCGCCCGCAGAAGGAGCGCCATGACGCCTGCCACCAGCCACCAGCCAGGCCCCATCCCCTCCCAGGTTGCCACCACCCAGGTCCCGTCCCCTCCCCTCCCCTAAAGGCCAAGTCACCAGCCAGATCCCTCCCCTCCCCGCTCTGCCACCACCCAGGTCCCCTTCCTTAAAGGCCCAGCCACCCGCCAGGTCCTGGCTCCTCCCCTCCCCATCCCTGCCGCCGACCTAGGTCCCTTCCCCTCCCCTCCCCTCCTCTAACCTTAAACCCACCTCTCCCCTCCCCTCCCCGCTCTGCCAACACCCAGGTCCTCTCCTCTAAAGGCCCAGTCACCACCCTGGTGACTGGCCCATCCCTCGCCTGCTCTCCCTCCCCCAGCCCCCAGGACTCCTACCTGCCCCCCTGAACTCCTGAACTTGTTCCTCGCACTTGCTTGGCCTTGACCTTCTCTACTTCTTCCCCATCCTGTTAGATAAAAGGTGGCAGAGGTCTGGATCATTGTGAAACACAGAGAGGACTCTGACAAAGCAAGAGTTTAGTGGGTTGGCGGGGCTGGTCCTCAAAAACTAGCAATCTAATGGCTGCAGGGGGCGTAGCTTATAAAAGACAGAATGCGGAAAAAGAATATTTTTCTGCTGTTTGGGGCTGTTTTTGAGGCCGTTCAGAAAGGGCGTGGGGTCTGTACCTGGAGAAAACTATCAGGGAAAACATCTACTGTAAAACATGTTTTCTACAATTATGGGGTTCCAGGAACCCACTGCAGCTAAGGAGCTGGCGGGCGTGGGGGGTGGGGGGGTACCTGTTTGTAGCCTGTGGAGCCTGCTCTAGTGATCACAATGCATTGGGTCATTAATTCTCAGAGCTGCTTTTGTCAGCTTGTAGGTGGCTGGGAGTTGGCTGACTCAGTTCCTCTTGGGGGCCTTATGGTTTCTGGGTCTGCCCCCCCATCTGAACCCTATCACATCCTAGCCCTGGTCCCCTAGCTTTTGTCCCAACCCTTCCAGGCCTCCAGCTCCTGCTCCTGCTTTGGGGAACTTACTCCTACTAGGTTCATCTTTAGCCCAAACCATGATGTGTTTTTCTTGTCTACATGCTAGACACACATCCTTTATCAAATGTTTTCCTTACACATTTTCCTTTTCCCAATCTGTGGGTTGTATTTTCTGTTTTCTAATAGTGTCTTAGGAAGAGAGAGCATCTTTAATTTTGATGAAATCCATTTTATCGTTATTTAATGGATTGTGTTTTTTAGTATCATAGTTAAAAAATATTTGCCTAATTCAAGATCACAATTTGTTGTATGTTTAATTCTGCAAATTTTATAGTTTTCAGTTTTATGTTTAGATCTAATACCATTTTTGAGTTCGTTTTTTATAAAGCAACACTTTTTGTTTGCCTTTTCTTTTTTTAAAAAGAATTTATGTGTACATGTGTATTGCCTGTATGTATGTATGTGCACCCATGTCATGCAGTGCCCACAGAAAACATTGGATCCCCTGGAACTGAAGTTACGGTCAGTTGTTAGCCAGCACGTGGGTACTGGCATTTGAACCCGGGTCTTCTACAACAACAGTCAGAGCTCTTAAAGGCTGAGCCATCTCTCCAGTCCCTCCTTTTCATTTTTAAAACATGCCAGTGTCTATTTTACCACCATCTGTTGAAAAAAATTACCTTTTCTCCACTGACCTACTTATGAATCTTTGCTAGCCTATGTGAGGCCCTGGATTCCAAGCAACCACTGAAAAAGCATCAGTTTGTTGTTGTTGTTTAGTTGTCGTAAGGGTCTGTTTCCAAGTTTCCTGTTCTTTCTGATTAATTAGTATGTCTACTTTTACATAAATACCATCTTGTCATTAGAGTTGAAAAGAGCTATCGTTAATGGTATAACTCTGTTCTTTTTCAGAGTTGTTTGGGCTGTTGTATGTGTTCTCTATCAGCTCCTCAATCTCTACAGACTTGCTTGAGTTCTTGAGAATGCACTGACTCTATAAACCTGGGAGCACCACTATCATAACTATTGATCTTGTGACTGCTGAATGAGATACACCTCTCAGTTCACAGAGGGCTTCTTTAACTTTGATCAGCAGTGTTTTGGAGTTTGTAGTTTTAGGTCTCACCCATCTTTTTTTTTTATTTTTACAATACATATTTTAATAATTTTTGTGCACATCATAGAATACAACCTAATCATATTTAGACTCACCTCCTCTCTCTGCACCTCATGCCCCCTCCACTAGATTTCATGCATTCTGTCATATATGTTAAGGCCTATTGAGTCAAGATTGTGTCCCCAGATGTCCCATGGTATGAGTTCATCCACTGGAGCCTGGTCAGTCTATCTAATATCATTGCCTTAAAGAAGACCAACTTTCTCTTGCCCAGCTGTGATCAGCTGCCAATAATTCCTCAGCTAAGGTTGGGACTTCTTACCAATTTCCCCAGTTCTATGCTTGGTCTTTGTCTGGTTTGACCTTCCATGGGTCTTGTGCATGCTGTCACTATTGCTGTAAGTTCATTCAAGCAAGTTCCCAGCTACCTGGGAAACTGTTTCCTTGGGGTCATCCACCGCTCCTGCCTCTTACAGTCTTTCCACTCCCTCTTCCTCAACGGTCCTGGAGCCCTGGGTGGCAGAGGTTTAATACAGTAGCCTTATTCAGGGACACATACTGTGCAGTCTCTTATTCTCTATATTTTGACCAGTTGTGGTTTTCTGTGTTAATCATCTGTTGCATGAGGAAGTTTTGCTAGTGAGAGCTGAAAGATGCATTAATATTCTCTCTACCCCTGTTCCACCATGTTCCATAAGCCTTAGGTGTAGAGATTACATTGTAGATGTGTCACTTAGGGCTGGGCATCTCACAGACACTTATTTTGTATGTTTGACCGCTTGTAGAACTCTGTAATAGTCTCCATCTGTTGCAAAAATAAGTTTCTTTGATGAATGGTGAGAGGTATACTTATCTGTAAACATAAGGCTATATATATATATATATTTATATACATATTTAGCATAAAGTAAGAAATCACTTTTGTCTAGGGGTGTGACAAATGTAAGTTTTTCTCTACTAGTTCCAAAATTTCTGATTGTTCATTGCTAATATGTACAATGTGTATATTGATCTTATATTCTGACACCTTGCTAAACTCACTTATTGGTTCAATTAGTTTTCACTGGATTTTATCAGATTTTCTGCATAGGCACCCACAGAATCTGTAAAGAGTTTTTCTTTCCCTTTTCTGTACAGATGACTTCCATTTCTTTTTCTTGCCTTACTGCACCAGCTCAACTCTGTATAATATTGAATAAATTGAATAAAAGTGACAAGAAGAAACACCTTCTTTCACAACTAAGTTTGATAATAGCTGTCAGATTTTCATAAATACTCTTATCAGACTGAGGAAATTTCCATCTATTTGTAGCTTGTTGAGTTTTTTTTATTTTTTTAACTAAAAAAATTACTACATTTTGGTCAATGTTTTTCTGAAGCTATTGGTATTATTACCTCAGGGGTTCTCAGGGTCCTCTCTTGGGGTTCTTGTCTCATTAATAAAAGAATTTAAGAATGTATTCAAACAGAAGCTTGAGGGCAATTTCATTAAGGCTCAAAGAAAAAAACCCAGGCCAGGTAAGCCATAAATCTCAGCAGCTGCCTGGAGGAGGAGAATAAGGGGGGAAAGAAAAAAAGCCATGTCATTTAAGCTGGCCTGGAGGTCAGACACATCACAGACAAGCAGCCACATGACAGAGAGGGGAGGGAAGCTTTGGAGGAACAGCAAGTTGGGGAGGCCCACCGTGATGGGGAAAGCATACTTAGAAAGAGGACAGAAAGAAGAAAAGGAGAGGTTACACTTTTCTGAAGAATTTGGAAAAGCAGGCAGGCTTACTAAGCTACATGTCCATGGCCTGGTAAACTACTGTGCTAGGGGATAGGATTCTAGGGAGAAAAAGTACAGTCTCTCGTTAAAGGACTATTCTATCTCTTTAGTGTGGCTTAAGGTGAACCTGCCTTTCTAGAGGTGGTTCCTTGGTCAGGTGATTGACACAGCCAACTCAACCAGAATATTAGGTCTCCAATCAGGCCAGAAAATCTATTCTCTTGACCAGAAGTTTTCTCTTAATGGGCATTTGCTGCTATGCTAACATTATGACCTCCTCCTCCTCCTCCTCCTCCTCCTCCTCTTCCTCCTTCTTCCTCCTTCTCCTCTTTCTCCTTCCCCTCCTTCCCCATCCCCTCCCCCTTCCTCCTCCTCCTTCTTTTTCCTCTTCCTCTTCTTCCTCTTCCTCCTCCTCCTCTCCTTCCTCTTCTTCCTCTTCCTCCTCCTCCTCTCCTTCTCATCCTCTTCTCCTCTTCCTCTTCCTCCTCTTCCTCCTCCTTCTCCTCCTTCCCCATCCCCATCCCCTCCCACTTCCTCCTCCTTCTTTTTCTCCTTCCTCTTCTTCCTCTCCCCCCTCCCTCCTATCCTTCCTCTTCTTCTTCTCTTCCTCCTCCTCCTCTTCCTCCTCTTCCTCCTCACCTTCTATTTTGTAAACTGATTTTATTCGGAGGTTTTCATTTTGTTTTGCTTCAATACTCCAATGAGTTTAATTAGGCTTGCTTATAGGAGCATGAGTAAGGGGTAATTTATACGTATGCAGGTAACTTACTAGGGCTATACCACTGAAATAAATTACTCTCTCTCCCCAAGCAACCATCAATTGTCTATAAATCCTCAGGGACTGGTGGGCCTTATGAGCCCTTCCCCTTCCATGACAGAATATTGACAGGCAGGGCCAATCTTGTGTAGGTCTTGTGCAGGTAATCACAGTTGTCAAGAGTACAAGGACCATGTCATATGTGATGACAGTGTTCTACAACACTCCAACCCTTCTCCAGGCTCTTGTATTCTTTCGGCCTCCTTGTTTATGATGTTTCCTGAGCCCTGGAGGGGGTGTATAGATGTCTCATTTCTGGAGCTCTAACAATCTTCTGGTGTTCATGAAGCTCAGACTTAGATCTGTTGTTAAACTAGAAGACACATGGAACCCGGGCTTCATCCATTGTGAAAGAAACATACTGACCCTGGATTC